CCCCCCTGCGCCCCGCGGCCCTTGCCATGGCCGGGCCTGCGGGCGCTGCTTTCGCCCCTTGTCGGCATCGCCGAGAAAAACCGCGCCGGGCCTTTCTACCCCGGTACCGCCCGTGTGTCTGTAAGCGCTGGCGGGGCACGAAGGGCATCGCTTCAGGCGGTGGAAATGTTCGAAATGGAAAAGGCGACGGGGACTCCTGTGAGCCGCCTTGGGCCAGCTGGGGCTGCCCAAACCCCTCTGTGAAGAGTTACGGTGCTCCTCCGGCTCACCAGCCGTGGCGACCGCTAACTAGCATTTATTAAAACAATTAAAACATTCGGGAAGGAATATTTCTGTGTAACTTAATAGCTAGTGGGAAAAAAGGGAGAAATAGTTACCTGAGTGTTTTTTGTGGTAGCCTAAATTAACCACCAGGGTAGGTTCGGGCTAGACATTAGGAAAAACTTCTTCACCGAAAGGGCTGTCAGGCTCTGGAAGGGGCTGCCCAGGGAGGTGGTCGAGTCCCCATCCCTGGAGGGATTTAAAAGAAGGATGGATGAGGTGCTTAGGGCCAGGGTTTAGTGGTGGGATGGCAGGGTTAGGTTAAGGGTTGGACTCGATGATCTCAAAGGTCTTTTCCAACCAAAGTGATTCTATGATTCTATGAACTAGCTCTCATGTTGTTTACTTATTCCAAGACATATCCCTTTTTGATGGTCTGAAAAAGTAAACTCTCTTATTTTTTTGAATAGGAAATTTTACAGAATTTATGGCAACGGTCCACGACCTTTCGACCTGTCGCAATCAAACTACAAATCTACTTGCCAGAGGTAAGATTTATTTGTAAGTAAAGCAGAAATATTTCTGAAGCTTGTCCCTCTCTCCTCTTGAGTCAGTGAACCAGCATCTTATTTGTGAGGCTAAAAATACACTCTCGAAATCTAGGTTTGTTGAGAAATTCAATGAACTGAAAGAAGAAGGAAAAATTGAAGAGGAAAAATTGTTTGAAGAAACAGGAAAAGCCCTTTTAGCCAGTGGGATAATTTTACAGAGAAGAGGAACAGATAAAGTAAGTATTAAGTATTCATGGAGTTACTTGGCCAGTGGATTTCAGAAAAGTTCACTTCCAGGCCCTTAATGTTGAGTTAGTCCAAATTAAATTCTCAGCAAGACAGCCACGCTCCTGACGGTTGTAATAAAATGTCTTTGCCGTGCAGAGTAAACCTTTCTCTTAGTCAGGAACGTGACTGGCCAAGGTTAAGGCGCTTCTTGTGGGACAGAAAAGAGCTCTGCTTGGTTTGGTGATGAAAGATTTAAGTCTTCAGTACTTTCAAATCATCCATCGGTGTGTCCTTGTAAACCATTTGGGAATATGCACACACGTTACCGTGTACGTGTTACCTCTGTAACCACCTCACCTGGCAGGGGGTGAATTAGAACCTCTTCTGGTTTGAAGATGACTAAAGCACTTTTCCATCCCTTTTTAATGGTTAAGTAGTCTACTGCCCTCTCAGTTCTTTAATCTTGATCCTGAACTGGAAGCTTTTTGCACAAATCTTGCAGGAATTTTTTTTTTGGTATGTGTTTTGTTTCGTTTGCTTGTTTTTAAAAGTCTCGAAATAAAGTTTTGGAGTCTGGGGGTTGTTTACTTATATTTTTGCCAAGAAAATAACTGTCCAAAACAACTGTCCAAGGCGTCCTGCCACTGCTTGTTGTTTTCTCTGATGTACAAGGCGGGAAACAGCTCTTGGGCACGTGGAGTCTGTTTCCTTGCTACTTCAGGCAATTGCTGTGTAACTCAAAAAAAGCTGGGGTAAAGAAATGAAACTAAAGATGTTTGTAGAACAGCACGTCGGGTGGAGTAGACCGTGGCTGCTCTGTGATGGTTAGAAACCTTCTACCTCGTTCACGACTCACTGATGACCATTTCTGCTGAGAGCGCTGTCCTGTTGGTTGAATACCCTCTAGAAGGGAGAAGAGCTGTTTATAAAAGCTGTAGTTTAGCTTCGTTAGCTAAATTCATTTATTATTCTCTTTTGTAATATGCTCTCCATTCTCCTCATTATCCAATGATCTTCGGGCTGAGCGTCCATACTGCTTTCTCCAATAAAAGAGGCTGAAAAGGAACAGAAATTGGTTCTGCTTAAAGTGCACTGAGTCCAATGAGCATGTGAAAAGATGAAATCACGAACTTTCATCTTTTAGCTTGAGGGCAGCAGTCGCATTTTAAATTTCTTGCCCTGGCGACACCTTGACACTGTATTGTGCCTTCAAAATAATCCAAGCATGAATTAGAGCTTTTCTGTCGACTTGTTTTGGATACGCAAACTGGGGCTGTTGCTTTTCTATCGCTCTCTTCACTCGCGCTTCGACAGAAACCTTTTACAACCCTGTTTTTTTGGTGATCGACTGTCTTTAACTGTAGGGAGCACAACAGGATCATCGGGATGTTGAAACCAGGGATCCTGTGTTGCACCTGCAGCTCCAAACCGTGTTGGAAGAGATGCAGGAAAAGAAGAAAGATGAGGAGAAGCAGACGCCAGAGTTGGCAGAAACACAGAAGGAGAATCCCTTGCCCTCCTAACGGCCGTGCTGCCGTCCTGTAGCACTTGGCTGCAGGATGTGCCCTGGCTGTGGCAATCGCCTGCCCGGGAGCCGGCATTTCTGCCTCCACAATCGCGTGGTTATGAGGCATTTTCTTAGGGGGAATGTGCCTCGGTTATCTGGCTCTAGTGCCTTCTGTGATCGTGCGCGGGGTACGCGTTATTCTTCTTCCATCTCCCCATTTGTAAATTTGGAGATAATCCCCTTTTTTGAGGTTCAAGAATGTTCTCTTGAAGTGTGAGTTGGAAAATACGAGTATAAAAGTGGAAAATTAAAATGTTTTCTTTAAAAATTGGAAGCTCTGTCTCTTTGGGTGTCTTATTTCCAGTAGTATCGATGCGTCTTAACTTCTTGCGCTTGACGGCACGGGCCTGGTGACGGTCCCGCTGTTGAAAGGGCAGCCACCGCTCGCCTGACGCGTTGGGACAGCCGCCTGAAGGGCTGCCTTGCCCTAGCTAGCGGAGAAGAGTCGCTATTTATATAAACGCAATAACGCGCTCCGCCCCTTCCATCATTTGCTTAAATTCAGAGTAGGATAAGGTGTAACAACACCTGGGGACGTGGACGTGGCGGGTTTGTAGTGACTCCTAATGAATGGGTCACCTGAGAGGCGTGGAAGGCGCAGTGTTGCGGCTGGTCACGGAAGGGAGGTGGGAGCGCTGTTATGGGAGCAGTCACGGCATCGGACACCGCAAGCCAGCGCTCGGCCCGGCTGGGTTTGGAGCCGATCAGAATTTCAGTCTTCCCATGCCTGCAAACTCCAGGGCCCAGCTTATTTTTTATTTAAGTTTTTTTTTTATTATTAAAATGTATTTTATTTATTATAATTTAATATTATAAATAGTATTTATTATAAAATTTATTTTTAATTAAAATTATTTTGGTATTGGGCTATATGAAACCCCCTTATTTTTCCTTTTTTGTTTGTTTTTTTTTCCCCTTTTTTGTTTGTGGTTTTCTCTGGTTTTTCTTCTTTTGTTTGTGTTTTTTCCCTTTTGTGTTTGTGTTATTCTTTCTTTCTTTCTTTGTGTTTTTCCCCTCTTTTGTTTGTGTTTTTCCCCTCTTCTGTTTGTGTTCTTTCCCCTCTTTTGTTTGTGTTTTTCTTTCTTTGTTTATTTTTTCCATTCTTTGTTTGTTTTTTCTTTTAAAACCCCCCAACCCCCACCACACAGGAAGGGGTGTAAATCTTGCCAAACACATCTCTGCTCCCGCTCCTTGCCTGGCTCTCCCCTACACCTCCAGCATTCAAGCTTCGGAACCGCTGTGCTGGGTCAGGGGTAGGAGGAGTGTTAATGTCAACAGATGAACAAAAATCCATTAAAATGGGGTTCAGTCTGAAACGGTGCTGGAGCGGAGACGCGTACCGAGGGGAAATCGTAGCGAGCCCTTCGCCTGCCGGCCCTGGGCCGGGGCTTCCCCCGCGGCGCAGCAGCCGCCCCTTTGGCTGAGGACGCAGGCGAGCTGCCCTCCTCAGCAAACGTCTGGCACCTGGGATCCAAATTCCCCCCCTTGTGCTGGGTTTTCTTGCCTGGGCCAAATGATTATCGCCAGCCCAAGGGAAGAGAGACCCACAGCTCCGTGTCTCCCACACCGCAGCTTCGCGCCTTTGCCTTCCGTGGATTTTTACAGAGGTAAAAGTTTTATTTTGAGCATCCTGTGTTGCATTTTTAACTTGATGGTGCCCTTAGCTTGCCAAAAATTGCAAATGGAAGTACTTTAAAAGGAGAAGTGTTATGAAGTTGAATGCAAGAATACACGAGAGGTTTCTCACTTGCTTCGTTTGCAGCTCGGTGGTCTCCTGTCTTTTGTCACCTCTCTAAAAAAATTGCCAACATTCCTTTAAGAGCTTTTTTCTCTATCATCTGCTGTAACTCTCTCCATCCCTGCCTCTTTAGTGAGCTCAGCTGTGTCTCCCTTCAGCCATCTGAAGCATATTGAGCAATCACGCATCGAGTTTAGAACACAGACCAGAGCAGCAGCCTTGCAGTGAGTTCCTGTGCGGAGCAGCCAAGAAGAAAGTTGGAATTAACTTTCTCTTTTATTTTGTGTTGGAAAAAGTCACTGGGGTGGCTCCGCGGGGCAGAGCGCTCCCAGTGGGACCAGCCATTCCATAGTGGGCTCGGCTGGATTTCCCCTTGCGTGCAGCTGTGGCCTGAGGGGTTGGAGTAAGAGACCCCTGGTGTTTTTTTCTTCTTCTCCTCCTCCATCTGAAATGGCAGCGACTGTCCGGCTTCCTAACCATTAGCTTTTGTGATCACGTGTGAGAAGTTCATTGCAACTCCTGCAATATGGGCCAAACCTGCAACGCCCGGTAAGTCTTGCAGTGACTTAGAAAGTGCAAAGAAACTTGGGTTTGTGCAGCAGCGGCGTGACCCGTCTGTCGGAGGGGAGGGTGTTGTGCCTCGGGCTTCGCCAAACTCCCGGATAGAGCAGCGGTGGGCTTGCCGTCGTGTGCTCCGTTGGTACCCGTGCGTGCGGGTATGCGGCCAAATTAGCAGGGAAAACCTGGAGATAAAGAGAGCGTTAACAATTTCCAGTGGGGCAGCAGGAGCCCTCGCATGGTGTAAATCAGGAAATTATTTCTTGGCAGGTCGGGGGGCAGAGCCGGGCCTGGGGGCTCGGGCGGGCTGCTGGCTGGCCGGGGCGGCGGGGATGCTCTCGGGATGCAGAAGCGGTCGGAGCTGCGGGTAACGGGGAAGCTGTCGGGCAAAGGATGGGAACAGAAGTATTTGGTGCCATGGGGAGAGAAGGCGGGTCCGGACCAGAGCCCTGTGCC